AAACATATACATATACCCACACACACACGCACATATCTCTATATAAATTCGCACATGTATATGTATATTGACACATGTACACATACATGATGATATGTATGCATACAGTTTTTACTCATGTGTGTGTCCATGTACGTGAGCGTCTCAGAACAGATGCGATCCGGCGAGAGAGAGAAGTACAAGAGCAGTTGTTCCCGCTGAAGAGCCAATAGCAGTGTCCTTGTAGCAAAAGGGGCGGGTTGTTGTTGACTATCCACACGTCCAGGATGAGAGATGAGATACTGCGTGAGGCGGAGATAGTGAGGGATCGGACAGGGTTATGAGGCGGAGAGGGAGGGAGTGTAAGCCTGGAGTAATAACTCTGAGGCATTGGTTGGAGATGCGGTGGAGACAATTTAAAGGGAGGGGGTGAGGTGGGGGGGGGGTAGGTAGGAGTAGGAGTGGGTGGGAGGGTAGGTAAAGAGTGGCTTTGGGGGTAGGTGGTTAGGTAAGTGGGTAGGTGGTGGTTAGGTAAGTGTGGGTGGGTGGTAAGTGGGAGTGAGGATTTGTGTGAGCGGGTAGGTGGTGTAGATGGGGAGTGGGGAAGGTAAGTGGGTGGGGTGGGCGGGCGTTTAAGGGTTTATATACGATGTTTTTTTTTTTTTTTTTCTTTTCTTTTAATCTTTTTTTTGTGTTGGTTTATTTATTGATAGCTCTCGTAATGTTTACTCAAAAGCTCTGTCTATGTCTCCTATCTTAAATTGCAAAACAGATACGAGATTTAGTGACAGAGGCAGTTAAATGCATTGAGGATACATGAGGAGAGGAGGGCAGAAGGAAGAACAATGGGTAGATGAAGGGAGGAGGGAAAGAAGGAAGGAGGAAGGAAGGATGGGAAGGAAGGTGGGGGAGGGAGGGAGGGAGGAAGGGAGGGGAGGGAGGGAAGGAAGGGAGGGAGGGAGGGGAGGGAGGGAGGGAGGAGGGGAGGGAAGAGAAATAGAAAGAGAGAGAGGAGAAGAGAGAGGAGAGAGAGAGAAGAGAGAGAGAGAGAGAGAGAGAGAGAGAGAGAGAGAGAGAAGAGAGAATAAGACAACAGTTTTGGGTAAATAACGAAAATAATAAAACCAACAGGGTTTTAGATGAAAAGAAAATAAAGAAGAGTATAACTGGGATGTGCGAATAAATCAATAGCTTTTAGAAGTACATACAAGTATGCACACACACACTCGCACGTACATACACACACACACACACACACACACACACACACACACACACACACACACACACACACACACACCACACCCACACACACACACACACACAACACACCACACACCACACACACACACACACAACACACACACACACACACACACACACACACACACACACACACACACACACACACACACACACACACACACAACACATATATATATATATATATATATATATATATATATATATATATATATATATATATATATTGAATATTGCTCTCATCATTCTATAAACAAGAATAAGGAAATAGCAGTGAAAGGAAAGAAAAGAAAAAAAAGAACTCAGCACTCTACATCTAATTACTAAAAATATAATAAAGTAATCGACACACACACACGCACACAATGGCGTGTCTTCGGGACAAAAGCCATGGGACTTTATCTCACATCGCGTCTCTAAAGAAATGTCAATATTGCTGTCTCTTTTTTTTTTTCTTTTTTTTTTTGAGGGAAGGTGGTGTGGGAGGGGTGGGGGAGGGGGGTATTATGTTGGGGAGGGAGGGGGGGTATTATGTTGGGGGGGGGGGGGTAGGGATCAAAACAGGGTGTGTGTGTGTGTATGAAGGTCTTCTTGAGTGACGCGTGAATCTTCATGGTTGTTAGAAAAAACTGACTGTGTGGAGTGTGGTGCATTTATGTGTGTGTGTGTGTGTGTGTTGTGTGTGTGTGTGTGTGTGTGTGTGTGTGTGTGTGTGTGTGTGTGTGTGTGGTGTGTGTGTGTGGTGTGTGTGAGGTGTTTGGATGTGAAAGATGAATGCGTGTATTCGTGTTTTTCCATAAGGGAATACAAGTGCATATTAATAACCAAATGCGGTAAATGTTGCTTATGATGACAATGCTCCGTTTCCGTAAATACTCTCATTTCGTACAAGAGCGTAGAAGCATCCGGTAATTACCAAACCAGTTGTGTGGAAAAAATCGCTCTTCCACCTGGGACAAAAATCCACCTTCGGGTCTTCAAGTTAACGAACTTTCTACACCCATTCAGATATTGAATTATCTCTTCCACGACATATCATTCGCTCAGACTGAATCGCTTCTTGATTTCCCATTAATCACGTGTCTCTCAAACCTCCCATCGTGCGCACAACTCCGCTCTTTTGTTCGGTTGTAGATAAAGCCGTCACTCACCTTTTTCTCGGGTCGATAATGACCGCTGGGTCAGAGAAGGTTACGGCATCGATCAGGATGTGTTTTTTTTCCCCCCCCCGTTTCTCTTTCTCTATCTTTATCTTATTTTTTCGTTTATCTCTAATCTTAGCCTTAAATGTAGCTGATTAGTATTCTCTTCGTTAAAAATATCAACACAAGAAAAGATCATTAATTATCTAACCATAAAAATTTAAACATGCAAGTATTAGTAAGTAGCTAATTATCGAAATTTCAACATGCAAGGATTAGTAAACATCCACCACAACCCTTTCATCCTAACGTTAAAAAAATCTCCTTGATTGCATTCTAACTCGACGAGAGAATCTAAGAAGTAAATAATGACGATGAAGAAAAGATATAAATGTGATGGGAACTCCCGACGAACAACTCCCCGAGGGCATGGTGGTCGAGGGTATGGGGCACGCAAGGTCGGGCATGGGTGAGGTTAGGCCAGACATGTACACCCACCCCTGCTGTTCCCGCCAAGGGGGGCTACGAGCTTAGCCATTTCAGAGTGGTAACTTCTTTCCTATTGGTGTTTTCTAATTTCTGAGGACGGATAAGCATAAAAAAATAAATACGATTGATATATCTGGCTGTTATATGACGAATTATATGGAGAAAAATATCTATTTGTTTTTTTTACAGTTGGGGTTGTAGGAAGACTATAGAAAACGGGAGATAATGACGCGTAATGACTGTTATTTTTTATACGCTCAATAAAAGGGGTTTGGTAAGTGGGTCTCCATTATCTCTTAGGGTTTGATTGTCACACGAATTAAAAGCCTCTTGGCCTTGTCAGCGCCTCCCCCCCCCCAACAAAAAAAGAATTATATGCTAATACATCTGACTGATCTTTCACAGGCGTCTCCCGGATGTTAATAAGGTTGTAATTACGACAAGGAACTATCGGCAACATATTAATGAAACGTTATGTCCATACATTAAGATCTCTGTATATATTTCATCTCATTTTTTTTTCAGACGCGTGTAAGTAAGGGTCATTTTCTGCTAATTTAAAATGGCAATTAAGACTTAATCTTTACTCGCTTCACTGATAATTGAAAATTACACCCAATCCTAACATTTCCGCGGTTATTAAACCTCTGGCAGGTTTCATGAAAGAAATTTTGCAACCGAATCTAACAGAAATAAACTAATATTTTTGGATCTAATCGTGTTGATAAAGCTGTAAATCACATAAATATTCCAAGTTCATATCCTTTTACAAGAAATAACATCATCATGAACGAACAAACCAAGAAAGGAAACAGAAAAACCATTAATATAACAAACATATCCATTCAACTCAATAACTTCGCATAAAAATCGGTGGATCGGTATTTAGTCGGCATTGAAGTCCCTAAATGGCGGAACCTTGAAGGAACGCTGTGCAATGACCAGCAACTTTAAATCTTTGATAATCGTGTGATTATTGTCTTATCTCGCGAGTCCTTTCATTTAGCACCTCGGTCTGGTTCCTCTTCCATAAGTTCACTAATCACGTGACCTTGATATCCTCTAGAAATTAGCAATTAACCGAGACTCTCTCATTTGTTTGTGATAATTAACATCAATAACTGTTATTAGCGTCATTAAAACCAATAACAAATGCGTGTAGTTGTAGTACTATGTCTCAGCTTACGTAATGTTCGGTTGACTCAGTTGCCAAGTTATTATTGTCACTTCTTAATCCATTTTCTTACGTCACATTCCGTCTGTCTCTATCAGCGCACTCGTCAGACATTCGTGTCATGCAGAAACACTTCTTGTCTCTCGTGCGAAGAACTGCATTACCATATCAGACATACGGGACACTTCTCTCGCTGCTGGACAGAAGACGACTCGCACTACCCGAGCTCAAGGGATCTACGAGAGAGGGGAAGGGAAGGGCGCTTTCCATGGGCTTTTTCATTGGATTGTCGACCTTACTAGTCTCGGGCTGAGGAGCACGTTAATCCCCCGATTCTTTCATTTGAGATGCGGCCTCGGTTGACCAGGTATTTCCTTGTCTAAAGACGAAATATATTAGCGGGGAGAAGGCATAGCTCTTCCACCTAAGACATATTTGCTTGGGTAAATATACTAAGTGTTAATATGTGTCACTGTCTGTGGATCTCGGGGTCCATAAACCACGCTGTCTCCCTGGCTCTGGATTTCGTTACTTTTGAGGTTTCATTTACTTTTTTTTTTCGATTTTCTCGTCTCAATGTTTTTCGTTTTGTAAATGTGGTTAATCCATCGCTACGTCTATTCGGATGCCTAACCTTGTACTTCTGATAAAATGTTTGTGTGCGTGTAGGTGTGTGTGTACAAGTACGCAACAAATATGTTTTGAGTAAACGTCCTGTGGTGTGTGTGTGTGTGTGTGTGTGTGTGTGTGTGTGTGTGTGTGTGTGTGTGTGTGTGTGTGTGTGTGTGTGTGTGTATGTGTGTGTATGTGTATGTGTATGTGTGTGTGTGCGTGTGTGCGTGTGTGCGCGTGCGTGCGTGTATCCGTGCGTGCATGCGAGTAAGCTCGTACATTCGTTCGTTCGTGAATATTTGCGTTCGTCCTTCCACGCATAAGTGTCTGAAGACTGCACACATCCCGGCGCGTCTGGGTGTGCGAACCGCGAAGCATGTGGGCTAACCTGACGCGACGTAAACATTCCAAGCCAAACACTCCAGCGAGAGGAAAGTATTAGTCTAGGACAAGGGAAGCCACTGATAGGAGATAATGTACAGAGCAGGTCTTAGAAGGTGCGTTCTTCGCCGATGAAAAAAAGTCTCGGTGTTGCACAAAGCAAGATTTTCGAGTTAAAGAAGACGAGACAAAGAGAGGGAGGAAGAAGGAAGACGTGCAGATGCGCAAGTTAGGAGACAGGGAGAGTGAAGGTAAGAGCAAACAAAAGGAAGATAAGGAGAAGTAACCGAATAGGGAAATAATAATGATAATGATGATAATAAAAATGATAATATTACCACTAATGATAATGATAGCAATAATAATAGTAAGAACAATGATAAGAATGATAATAGTAGTAAGAATGATAAGAAGGATAAGAGTAGTAATAAGATTAATAAAAAACGGACGAAAAGACGGAAAAGAAAACGAATCGCCAATCACCTTTTATCAGCCGCTTTATCTCATTTATTATCTTCACACTCATGAATCACTGACCGCGCGTGCCTCACAGCTGGGAACTCACACAGCCGAATCACCCATGAGGATTACCGAGTTTCGGATTTATGAGTCACGAATCACGACTGAGGGATAATGAATCAATTCGGTAGGCGGAATTACGATAAAAAAAATACACCATTCAATGAGTATTGATAATTGCAGCTTTACGAATTACCTTGGAAATACGTTTAACTCGATCATTTCAGGTTTGAAAATTAAATCAGACTCACAGTCGAGAAATATCGCATGGCTTCGGAAAAAAAATGAGGAATATAAATAATTTCGGATTTATGAGTCACTGTCATCAAGCTGCCGGGCGCTCCAAGCAGACAGAATTGACCCTTGGCGGTTAGTCTAGTGAAAGTGTGTGCGCTCGTAGCCCCTCACTGCCGGGTTGTGCGTTTCCCATGACGTTTTATTTATATATGGGATTTTGCGGCGTCTGTCTCGAGTCTGGATCTATTGTGTCGTATTTATATCCGTGTTTTGTTGTATTTTTGGTGAGTCTGGTGAAAGTGTGTGGGTTCGTAATCCCCTCGCCGCCGGATTGCGCGCTTCGCGTGTCTTTTTATTTATTATTTATATATGGGATCTTGCGGCGTCTGCCTGGATCTACAGTATCGTATTTACATCTGTGTTTTGATGTATTTTTGGTTAATTTAGTGAAAGTGTGTGTGTGCTCGTACTCCCTCGCTGCCTGACTGTGCGCTTCTCATGAGGTTTTATTTACATATGAGATCTTGTGGCGTCTGTCTGGAGTGTGGATCCATAGTGTCGTATTTATTTGTGTTGTTTTGTTGTATTATTGGTTAGTCTACCAAGTGTGTGCGCTCGTAGTCCTTCGCTGTTGGACTCTGCGCTCTCTACGATGGGTTGTTAGTATATGGCTTCACGTGGCGCCCGTCTAGTCTTTGTTTCCGAGATAGTCTTTTGTTTCTGGTATGTGGTCTGGTCATGAGTTCAAATGTAGGCCTATCGTTGCTACAATAATGAAAGAACATGCCCGTGAATTTGTTGTTGAAACGATACAAAGCTGGTTATTCTCTGATCATTTTCACTTTGTCGTTGCAAACACTTTTGCAACTTGAGAGCCCTGTTGCAAAGCCTTGGCACCCGCACTGGGCCAGGCACTAACCGGCTCCCACGCTTGGCCATGTACATATTCTTTCAACACATGGGAATCATGTGTCCAAAACACACACACACACACACACACACACACACACACACACACACACACACACACACACACACACACCACACACACACACACAAATCAAACTGTGTTACTGAAGAATTAGAGCTAATATTTTCTATCGTAACAATGTATATATATATATATATATATATATATATATATATATATATATATATATATATATAGAGATAAATTAATCAAAAACAAATTCCCAGTCTGTGTTTCGAGTGGCGTCATCAGATGAAGGTGTTAGGGTCAAGGTTATCACATGGAGAGGTCACTTCTAAGTATTTGATTTTACAGTTGATAATTCTCTCTTGATATCACGTCACGTCAGTCCTGTCACACAAGTTCTGGTGGATTGTATTTTTTTCTGGAAAAGGCAGAAATTCTGTTCCTTCGCAAACATTGGCTAAATAGTCTTACAAGTTCGAGAAAGCCATCATTGGGTAAGATACACCAATAATTTTATCCGCTGCACAACCCCCTTCTTTTCTCCCAACATAAAATTCGCAGTAGATGGTTCACATATCACACGAGGAAGACCTTTACCTGCCTGTCAACCTGTCACCACTCCCTCAGACAACCGGTTGCGTCGCCTGAGTAATAGCCAAGACCCTCCTACCAGCTGGGTACTCACCATTCTGCCTCGAACTGACACACTCACACCTCGGGTACTTCACCAGGCAGAGGCTCGCCCCGCTCTGACCGCCGCCACCAAAGGGGTCTTGGGTTTTAAAGTTAGCTGGGCTTGTGCTGCCCCTGCAGGCGTGCCAACATGGCCTTTCCATACGCTGCCCATTACGACGCAAAACACCTTCGGGATGAGATAAGAAAGTGTTGGGCGATTTTTAATAGTTGTCTTTTTTTTGTATGGGGTTGTGGCGTTTGTCTAGTTCATTGTTGATTGATATTTGTTTTTACTTTAATGAATTGGTTTAACAGCTTATTGTCTCGTTGGGTCGTATCGTATCCTTGGTTGGCGGCCCTTGCAACAGCCAAAAAAAGGGAAAAAAATGAAAATGATACTTAGCGCAACTGGACAATCACAAAAAAGAAGTCTCAACTATTCAACAGCTGTTTGGCTCTCAGGTTGTCCCTAATTCGCAAAGGGTTACAAATTACCGATTATCAAAACAAGCACTAACTATCAACAGGGTGATTTCCACGTCGAAATGTATCACAATCTTAACAGTCGGAAGGAAAATAAGATAAAGAAAGGAGAAGGTAAAAATCTTTGTCTCCGCTCTCTCTCACCAACAAAATCTTACGACACTGTGGCTGGCGTTTCTCATGGTCCTAAACTTTGCTTATCACTTGTTCTGCCATAAAGTGTACGACCACTTTATTCCTTTGTTTAAGGTAGAGGCAGTTTATGTAGTTTATATTTAGTCTTATTTATTATGTATCATAAATTATTTTTTCTGAAACGGTAATATGTGTAAAACGTAAACACCAACCGGTTTGAGCGTTTCCCTAATAAGACCCAAAACCGGCTTTATATACAACACATAATTACAGCAGCCTTTTCTACAGGATGCGCATATAATTATAACTTATCTGATATTCATGACCTGTCAAAACATATATATTTTTTTAACTACACGTTTTCTCTCAAAGGATTCACCTTCTCATACAAACCGGAGGTGTTGTTCTCACAAACGATGTTGACTGTATGGGTCAGAGTCAAGGTCGCGGCGTGATCTCTCGACCAATCACGGAGGAGACGCCAAGGAGTACGCCAATGACGTGCCGGAATCACTGTTGCAATGGCCAATCATATTTTCGTAAAGCATAAAGGGGCGTGGATTCGAATATACTCAGGGAACAAGCAAACATTTTTTTTGATTTTATACCCCTGTTTACGATCACGTCCCCAATCAGGGGATAAATTGCACGCAGCACGCAGGAGATTGGGTTAGTTTTCCGAATATGGATCTGCCTTCGAATTTAGTCATTTCTGGTGTTAAGTCGCAAAGAAAATTAATTAATTGCGGTTTCTGAGTTTCCGTCTTGTTTACTCGAGGCGGAAGTGCATGGCCACGAACGGCCCTCGGGTAATGGCGCCAAGAAATGCCTGGCGTTTCCGAAAGAGCCACTTGGACATTTAGAGTGTTTGTTAAAGTGTTTCGAAAGAAGAGACACTATCGCTCTTATGGTTTAGCGTTTCTCTCTGTCTCTGTCTCTCTCTGTCTCTCTGTCTCTGTCTCTCTCTGTCTCTGTCTCTCTCTCTCTCTCTCTCTCTCTCTCTCTCTCTCTCTCTCTCTCTCTCTCTTCCTATCTCCTCTCCTCTCTCCTCCCTCCCTCCCATTCCTTATATCTTTCTCATCTCTTCCTAACGTCGGCTTCGGTTTCTTCAAAAGATCCTTTGCATGCTTGTCATGACGTGCTGTACCTGTGCATGATTATCAGAAACCTTTTTCTCTCGGACATTTTACCTTTAAAAAAATCAAAATGAATAAAAACTGACTGATAGCAAATGTCAATGTGAGATTTATATTTCATATATTTAAGGTTAAATAGTCATAAGATGTCAAAGAAATTGCTTAGTACACGTCGGGCAAAAACAAAAAAATATCTATGATTTCATGGCTATATGTTGTTTGGATTTACGGCGATTGGGAACCGATTTGATATTGAAATTGCTATAATCAATACTCTTATAATGAGCAGTTCTAATCGCAGATACGTTTTTGCAATAGACAATAAACTCCGCAACACCGTTAATAAATCATGGAATATTATTAACTCTTCCATCAGAGGCAATTGACTTATGTTGTGTCTCGATTGGAGAGAATATTCACTAAATTAGTAGTTGTGCATTCGAATCGCACAAACACAGATTGGCATGAATAGAGGAGGAGGAGAACTGAACTTTGGAAATGAAAAAAAAAGTAGTGTTCTTAAATTTATATAGAGTAGATAGTGTGAAAACGGGAGGAAGGGAGGTGGCGGTTATACTGTGCTGGGCGCTGGAGCATAACTAGCAATAAACAATTTGAACAAGTGGTTGTTTCTCAATATGTCTTTCTCCCTTTTTTCATTGTTTTTCTTTCCCTTTACCTCGCTTTCTTTTGGGTTTTTTGTCTATCTCCCCCCCCCTCTCTCTCTCTCTCTCTGTCTCTTCTCTCTCTCTCTCTCTTCTCTCTCTCTCTCTCTCTCTCTCTCTCTCTCTCTTCTCTCTCTCTCTCTCTCTCTCTCCTCTCTCTCTCTCTCTCTCTCTTCTCTCTCTCTCCCTCTCCTCCCTCGCTCTCCCTATCTCTCCCTCTCTCCCACTCTTTCTCCCTCACTGTCTCTCTCTCTCCCTCTCTTTCCCCCCCCCCTCCCTCCCTCTCTCCCACTCTTCTCCCTCATTGTCTCTCTCTTCTCCCCCCCCTCCCACCTCTCTCTCCCCTCATTGTCTCCTCTCTCCCACTTTTCTCCCTCACTGTCTCTCTCCCTCTCCCTCTCTTCTCCCCCCCCTCTCTCCCTCTCTTCTTCTCCCTCCCTCCCTCTCTCCCTCTCCCACTCTCTCCCTCCCTCCCTCTCTCTGTCTCCTCTCTCTCTCCCAAGGCTTGTATGCAAATACGCCCCGTGTCCCATCAGCCCCAACTCCTGCCTAGCATAAAGTGGCAAACCCCGCCTGTCTGGTTAGTAACTTGCGTCGAACGAAACTCACTAAATGTATGTGCTGTTTTTATCGCATGTGATCTTGGGTATGTACATTTTTTTTCTTTGTTTGTTGTGAGTGTTAGGTGAGTTTTTTTTCTGGTGGTGATTGTGAATGATGAGATTATGAATTCATATCAACGTTGACGATGGTTTTGATTCTTGGAAGTGGTGGAATGTTGGCAGTAATTAAATTTTGATAGCAATAATCAGATGATCATGATTGATGGTGGTATTAGTCTGAATTAACGATAAAGATGATGGCGATTATAAAAGTAAAGTAGTGAATGGTACTTACGATAAAACACAACCGTAATACTAACAATAATTACTACTAATTGCCAGTACTGCTGATCTTATCTTCGCAATAACAACACATCTTCCCACATTAATTAGCGAGTCTTTGCTTTCACCCTATCATTTTCCTCTCCCTCTTCTTCCCCTCCCCCTCCTCCCTTCCCCCCCCCCTCCCCTCGCCTCACGCACCAAGCACAGCATGCAAGATTGTGATTTTTTTTTTTTTCCTTCCCTCCTCCTCTTTAAAAAAAAAAAAAAAAAAAAGGAAAAAATATCGTGTTGAGACTCTTGCTTACGTCTTCATGGTCACGTGGGAAGCGTTTTAGAGATTTTTTTTTTCTCATTTTTGTCTATTCCTTTATTTACTTGTTTATTCAGTTATCTATTTCCTTTTTTTTATACGGCATTGTTATTATCATCAAGTTTATTATCATTAAAAAGTTCACTCTATTGAAAATCCAAATTCCTTTGCAAGTATTTCAAACTTAAATTATCTTAACAGTGCAAATAGAACCGTATTCATGTTGACAAATGTAGAAGAGTTATGAATGAGAATGAATATCTTCACAATACAAGAGATGTATTTGACCGGTTTCGAATATATCTTCGTCAGAGATATATTCAAAACCGGTCAAATACATCTCTTGGATTGTGAAGATATTCTCACTCACACCTTTTCTACACTGCAGATAGATCTCAGCTCTACAATGCATAACTTTTCCCATCTCAAGCGAGAGTCTGCCGTGACCCTAATCTCTCTCTCTCTTCCTCAATCTGTCCCATAATCTGTCTCTCCTCTCTCTCTCTCTCTCTCTCTCTCTCTCTCTCTCTCTTCTCTCTGTCTGTCTGTCTCTGCTCTCTCTCTCCTCGCTCTCTCTCTCTCTTCTCTCGTCTTCTCTCTCTCTCTCTCTCTCTCTCTCTCTCTCTCTCTCTCTCTCTCTCTCTCTCTCTCTCTCTCTCTCTCTCTCTCTCTCTCTCTCCCTTCCCTGTGTTAGTTCATACACTTCCCAAACGAGGTTCCTACCGTGACCTTCCCTTTAGAGGCGGATCTACGGACAGACATTAATTATGGTAACAAACTCCCGTGTGGACGCTATCTCACGCCTACCATTATATCATGGTGGGGGAGGGAGGGAGAAGGAGGGGAGGGGAGGGGAGATTGCGAGGGAGGGAGGAAGGGAGGGGAGGGTGAGATTGGAGGATTGGAAGAAGAATAGGAAGGGAGGGAGAGGAGATTGAAGAATGGAGGGTGAGATTGGAGGATTGGAAGAAGAATAGGAAGGAGGGTGAGATTGAGGATTGGAAGAAGAATAGGAAGGGAAGAGACTGGAGATTGGAAGAAGAATAGGAAGGAGAATGGGGAAGAGGAAAAGGAGGAGAGGAGGATGGGTAGGCAGAAGGTGAGAAGGATTGAAGGAGGAATAGAAGTTGGATGAAGGATAGGAAGAGCCAGAGAAAAGATGGAAATGAGAGGGGGAAGAAATAGACGAATATAGGCAAAGGGGAGAGAGAAGGAAGGGAGGGAAGAAAGATTGAGAGAAAGGGCTGGGAAAATTAATATTGGAACGAAGGATGGAGAGGAAGAACGGGAAAGATGGAAGGAAGAGAGGAGAGAAAGAAGGGAAAATGGGGGATGGGAGAAAGAAGGATAAGGGGAAGAAAAGAGAAAAGAATTAGGGAAGGAAAGATGGGAGAACCAGTGAAGAAGGAAGTGAAGACCAGGAGACAGAAGAGAGAGAGAGAAAGGGTGGAGAGGAGAAAAAAGGGAATAAAAACG